GGCGGTCAGTTTCAGCAGCGGCTGAATCTGGACGCCAGTTCCGACTTACATACAGATTCAACTTAAGAACAAACCTACAGTCCCTATCTTGTATGTAACCCGGGGACTGCCTGTATTTAATTCAGAAAGCCATCATATTTAAAATATTTACAGGTCCACAAAATCTTGGTAAAGAACATGAAATCAAAGTGCATCTGTCCTGAATTGATTTCCATGCATTTCCTTCAAAACAAAAGAGCCGTTAAAATGAAAAGAAAGTCATTATTCCTTGGATCTCACTTCTCAATCCAAGTTTTTTGATCTCCAAACTCCTGAATTCTAGCTCACATACTTCCTCAATGCTACTTAATAGACAATATGGCCATCTCAATTCCACTGGGTTCAGTGTTCCTTGTGCTTTCTGGCCCAATTGAAAGTAGGGATGTAAATACTGGTTTAAAAAAACCCTACGTAACCAATTAAAATTTTTATTAGTTACACCCGCATTTCTCAGACTGTGGATCCCGAGCAACTTAGAGGGGGGCAGGTCGCAGTATCACAAAGTTTGAGAACCCCTGGGTTACAGAGTCAAATGTGTCACCACAGAACTGGTAGTGTAGGGCTGTGCTGCGGCACCCCCACATTTCACACAGGACCTCACTGTCAGTTCCTGCACCTAGGGCTCAGCTGCTGGCCCCCACGCGGGGGGATCCAGACTGCTGCCTACATCTGGGACCTGGGCTGCTGCCCCCTCCGTGGCCCTCCTGCCTGCTGGCTCCTGTGATCTTGCTTGGCTGCAACTTGCCAGCCCATGTGCCTGTGGTTCCTCTCAGCTTCAACTCCCAGGGCAACAGTGGAGTCCTGGAATCCAGCTGGCAGCAGAGTTTAATCGTTAACTGAAACCGACAAGAATACATCCCCAACTGAAAGGCCAGTGAATGGAAAGACTCCCGTTTACTTCAGTGGCCTTCAAATTCCAATCTGATAGACCATTCCAACGGTGCTGAAACACTCATTTCCTTACTGCACAACTTTCGTTTGACACCAAATTAATCCACCTCTCCACTGGCATTACTCTTCTAAATGGAAACACCATTTTTCTATTAGCAAAAGTACTCTCTTGTCATGGAAGTAGATCTTGTGCCTATTCTTTTCTGATAAGCAGCATGTGACATGCATCTGACGAAGTGGGTCTTTGCCCATGAAAGCTTATGCTCCAATAAATGTTAGTCTATAAAGTGCCACAGGATTCCTCGTCAACTTAAAGTGGGGAATTTTTTTCCATTTGCCCAATTTTTTTTTTGCGCGACTTAAGAGTGAGGAATGGGAGGACTTATAATGCATCAGTCCCTATAAGCTACAATGACGTTAGTCTCGAGCGGATGTATACCGGGGCAGCTTATAGTGGGGACGCCCCATGTCATGCAGGGTAAGAGCCATAATGTACAAGATGGATAACTCTCAATAAACAAACAGAGTATTCATTATTTCTTCTAAGCCTCATTATTCAGCATGTGGCCCCATTTCTCATTAGCTGCACGCCATCCAAACTCTATACTGAATAGGTAATTTTTCTTTTCTTTATATACTTTTCTCTACTTTATTAGTCAGTTTATTCATACAACACCTCTTCATTAATCACAGAAAAGAAACAGGAAAACTTTCCTAACCAACATATTCCTGCACCAAAGCACTAGAACATTGGTAGGCAGTTATAGAGATTTTCAAAAGCTCCTACAAAACTTAAGAGCACAAGTACAACTAGTTTAAAAAAATAAATCATATTTGTGCACCTAAATCCCTTAGATACCTTTAAAAAAATCTCATAAAAGACTGCATTACAAAATCCACTGTGCACGCTATATTTTATACACCGTACAAAGTATATTTTTACAAGATCTCATTACTTTAATAAATCACAACCAATTTTCACCAGACTACTGTAAAGCATATCTGTAAACTAAGAACTCTCTCTCCACCAAATGCCAAGTTTCTTCCACCTACTACTTATGCTCTAAGGCTCTTTTAAAAAGTCACTTCATACACATAAAACTGGGAAAGTATTTCCACTCCCTATTTTCAAGTCAAAAGACTTCGGCTCTGTTGGATTGAGAAATCAATTTTAAATTAAAAAACATGGATTGTATTCCTTCTACTGTATTATCAACAGAATTATTACGAAATTCTATAAATTATATTGGTGTAAACCCGTTGAGGTCAGAGGGTTTCATAACTGTTAGTGAGAGTATAATTTAGCGTGCAGGACCTAGTATTACCAACAGTGATATGCAAGAACAGGGATGGACTTTTGTTTTCTTTTAAATCCCAGCTTGAATTTGCAGAACTGGCAATTGGGAGCACAGGGAATATTTTACCACTAAACTAAACACATTTGATCTGGAATCTTGAAAGACAAAAAAAAAAAGTCAATCCCCATGATACCATTTTCCATAGATCCACTTCAGGCACTCCTTTATTAAATATACATATGTACTAATTTACCATTGATTTTTTTTAAACTTTGCTAGATACCACTATCTGTAGAATACCTCATTTTCAAGGTAACTGTATATAATTTGCATATCAAATTTTAGATGGAATTTATGAAGGAAGGTAAGCCTTCATTCTGAGTTTTGCATGCTTTCGTGAATCTATTGCTCAGGGAGAAGAAGTTTCCCACACAAGTCCTTCTCCATGACACAGCATTGTGAAACTTCACAAACATTAGGTGGATTTATTTTTGTTCGTTTGTTTTTGCTCTTTCCTCAGAAGTAGCACATGAGTTCAATGCTGGAAGAGGGACCATTGGTCAGCTCTGGTATGGCAATGCCTATGATTCTGAGCTATTTTTGAGTTATTTAAATAAATGGACAGGTTATTAAATAAATAGCCACAGAGCCTGTCGATCTCAGGATGAGGTCATAAGAGGTGGAGTTTTAACGTTCTTTATCTGAAACACACACTCTGATCTTATAACAGAGACCCTCGTTTTAACCACTATCTTGTATTTAAACTATTTCTTATACAGTACATAATAGTGATGACGTTCACTTTGTTAATGGTCTGTCAGTCCTTCTGTTATAAATAACTGCACAGGTAGAGAGGATGTTGTACCCAACCAAAAAAATGTTTGCTTTACGCAAATTTTTATATACAGATATGGTGCTGGTAGTGAGTCCAGGAGCCGAAACATTAAAGAAATTGGAATAAAAAAGTGTTTTATCCTCCCCCCCCCCCCAAGATCTTTAAGGCACAAGACAAAAAGAATTTTGAGCTCAGAGAAATTGGAAAAACAAAAGATGTATTTTAAAAAGAGATTGGCAAGAACCTGTAACTCTGAATGGGCTTTGCTACTTTTGAGTATTTTGGAGGTGGGGGAAGGGAGAAAGCCCACTCAAGTCGACAGAAAATTATTTCAATGGGCTTTAGATCAGTCCCTAAATTAGGCCAATCTACACTAGACCTAGAAGGTCAGGCTAAGGTACGTAGCAACTCCAGCTACATAAAATACATAGCTTAGCGTGAATTTTACAGTAGAAGATCGACAGGAGCAAAGACTCCCATCATCTTCCCTTGCTCCTCGTGACTGCCAGGAGTACTGGCGCTGGCTGGAGCCACCCTCAGCATTCGATTTAGCAAGTATTATCTAGACCTGCTAAATTGAATGCCAGAGAATTGATCTCCAGGGCAGTAAGTATAAAGGTGGTTCAAGTGTTTAAAAAGAGGTTTCTATGCATTGGGGTGTGCAGCTTATGGCTCTTTTGTCATTCCTAAAATACATGCAACTTTTTAAATTAAAATGAAAAATTCAAAATTTTAAAAACACATAATTACTTATGTAACTTAAATGTGTGCATGAACCTGAATTCGACCAGTTACGATGTAAATTTCAAAAAATATAAAAAAAAGTGCAAAAAGATGCAGCAGCAGAAGTTCCATTAAATAAAGTGTGAGTATCTTTCATTTATGCTGTTATTAATCATGTCAATCATCAATAATATTAAGTTGTATATTTTCAGTCATGCAAATGGGCATTCTTATACAGCTCTTAGATGACCACTTGTTCTGAATTTTGATGTAGTTTAGCTCTTTGGTTTGAAAAGGTTGCTGACCCCTGAGTTAGAGTATATATTTATAGAAAGATAATAAAGATTTTTAATACTCTGGCTAAGGCTGTCATCAGAACAAGATTCTACAACCTTAAATACTCAGTGAAAGAATAGATCATAGCTTTGGAAGCCTAAGAAAAAATGACAATGCTCAAAAAAATTCTTTAATGCATATTCACTTAGTACAAAACTGGTATATTAATTTTTTGGGTATGTCTGCACTACAGAGAAGGTTGAAGCTGCTTCTGTCCATCTTCCAGGGTTCGAATTAGCAGCTCTAGTGAGGACACACTAATTCAAACTGAGAGGGATGTTCCAGTAGATGCTAATAGTCCTGCTTCAATGATGAGTAAGGAAAGTCAAAAGAAGAGTGTTCTCCCTTCGACTTCCTGCAGCGTGGACAGTGCCAAAAGCCAAGTTAAGATACTTCGACTTCAGCTATACAATTAACACAATCTTATGCCATAGTGTAGATGAACCCATAGGAAACAGAAGTTTCCCTCAAAACATAGCAGTACCTTCAAAGCTACAGTGATCTTAGGAGTAAAATAATAAGAAATTTCTACATACTTTTATTCATTTTTTTAAATTAACTCATTTAACAAAATATAAAAGAAATTTAGATTCTCACAAGTGACTAAATCCTATCTTCTGCTGAAGAGAGGCAAAGAAGGCACCCGTACTCCAAAACCTCAAAGCAAAGCCGAGTCTTTTAACAATGACTGAGAAGATTAGATACAGATCTAAGATGGCATAGTTTGTAAACTCAAACAGGACAGAGGGACTTGTCCAAACTTCTAGAATTTATGCTTCTGACAGAAAAACTTGGTTTGTGGCTAAGAATCTTGACTGGGCCTTTGAAGCTATAGTGAGTTCTCAATTCTGACACAGACTTCTTTTGTCACCTTGCTCAAGTCACTCAGCTCTTTGTTTCAACTACCCATCTATAAAAGGGTATAATACTACAAATTAATCTGAAAGACGCAGAAGTTCTTTGTCAAAGGACTTTGGAATGACACTGGATTATCTGAAGTCTCTATGTTGTACAGCAGGAGTAAATCAGCAGGTAAACTTTCAGACTTTACTGAATCTCCTGGCTCTTGTGGGTTGAATCTGTATAGTAATCATTGAACATAATTAGGGTATTCGAGAGCAAGACAGAAGGAGAATGTACTTCAACTGTGTGCTGTGTAACAGCGCATTTCCTCCCACAGGGTACAAATCAGTGATGTGGACTGATGAAGCCCTTTGTCCCTCTGAATTAGCACTTACTGTTATGTATTAGTAGGTGTCTCTGCAGAGAGAACGGGGTGCGGAACAAAGCCTTGCATTCCTCACACTGGAATGGTCTCTCTTCAGAGTGGGTCTGCAGACGAAAGACAATGAGTCAGGGGGAAGGATCAGGGAAATCAATTAGGTGTTATTACAATAATTGTAGATAACTTGGCAGGCGGTTTTCAGAGGGGCATCATAGCAGTTCCACTTATTAGGTGAAAAAGCCTTAAACTACATCCATTATGTGGAACTTTGCAAGACAACAGGACAGTTATTAAATAGGCGTGCACCATAAGTCTTTAGAACCCTGTTATGTAAAAGGGTATATAAGCATGTACATGTGCACGCTCCTCTGTGTCTGTCTGTGTCTATGTATATACACACACATTTTGAAAGAAAGCTACAGGAGAGGATTTGCTATTTCACTAAATAATACATAAAATGATAAAAATTAAGTACACCCTCAAAAGCACAACATTTTCTCAGTTAATTCCAGTCCACTCTTAGCCAGCTGCTGGTCTGCCTACTTTCCACACAACCATTTAAAAGTTTAGCACATTAAATCTCTCACATCTAGAACCTATCCCTACCCTCGTCTCCCCTTCATTTGCTAATTTGAAACAGAAGACAGAAGTATTTGTACTGAGAGCCTTGCTTACCTCTGTAAAAATTCACCATAGCTGAAACAGCCACATCAAAGTCATAAACAAGACAGAAAGCTAAGCTTGGCTGAATCTTGTAAACAAACTTCATAACTGCTGACACTGATCTCTGGAGCTTGTGAAAGAGTCAGCTTTTATTCTACTTGTGTAAAATTCAAATAACTTCCTCTGATTTTTTTTATTGTAATGTCGTACCATCCCATTATAGTCAGTAAATGATACTGTACAATATTATCTAAGCAATTGCCTATAATTTTCTGATAAAGGGAAGATTTAAAGAATGAGTGTCTAAATACTGCATTTAGCTCAAGAGGACCTTAATTGAAAGCTATTGTGCCTCAAGGGGAGTGATTGGAAGTGTTTTATAACATGCAGGGATTATGATTAATAACAAAATGATGTATATTAAAGAGTGATTCTCATAGCCTATGGGTAAACATTAATATGGGACATAAGTGCACAATCTGTTTTCTCCTCATGGCAGGGAAATCCCGAATGGCATAAGATATTTATAGCTACTCTACAAATTGGGGGAAAAGGTAAAGAGCAATTAAATTATTTATATGTAGCCTTTAGCGCTCTTGGATCTCTCGCTCTCTCTCACACACACACACACACACACACACACACACGTGACAAGGGGATCCTTTGCGCGCGCGCGCACACGCACACGCATGTTCTCTCTCTCTCTCGCACACACACACGCACACACACACACACACACACACACACACACACAGAACCCAAACTTCTTTTCTCATGGCAAGCAATACCAAGATGTTATGATACACTAATAGCCGACTGTAGTGGACTGCAAACACTACAGCCAAAACAATGATTAGATAAAACAGCACAGGACTCTTTTCTTTCATAGATACTTATTCTTTCAAACATTCTATTGTTTGTTATTAAGGAATAAAGCCTTGCTACTTTATTGCTATGTATTAGTGCATGTCCACAAGAGAGAAGGGGTACCTTTTAAGAAGGTACCTTGAGACTGGATGGCTCAGACAGTGCAATGGCTGAAAATGGGATACAGAGGCTTTTCACCCCTAAGACCAGGTCCACACTACACCAGGAAGGTCGGTTTAAGGTACACAATTCCAGCTACACAAAATGTAAGCTGACTCCAGCTATGCCTTAAGCCGCGCTTGGAGCGGTCTTCACAGAGGGCTCTTTGCGACTATAAGTACTTGTGCTGACCAGAGCTGCCCTGAGCATTCCATTTAGCGGGTCTTAACTAGAGCGAAATTGAATGCCAGAAGATCAATCTCTGGCACAGCAAGTGAAGATGTGGCCTTAACGTGTAGTTCAAATCCAGTCTAAGTCCCATACAGTAGAAAGGCCACTAACTGGCCATCAAACGGCTATGTAAAATTGATTGATTGTTTAAGTCTGGCTCTTAGTGGTTCACAACATAATTAGTATTAGTGGATACCCTTTCCTGGCAGTCTCAACAGAGAGGCCAAGGATTGACTGGGCATGAAGAGACTGAACTACCTTCTCACCTCAATAGGTGGTTCCTCCAGAACAGGGTTGAGACATATTGATGAGACACTGTGGGGAAGCTTGCAGTGCTGCTGTCTGTGCTGTACCTGTTCTGTGGATAAATAGAAGGGTTCAGTCTCCAGGGCTGTCAATCTGGCACTTTTCACGAGCGCAAAAAAGTTACTTCCAGTTATTTCAAAACACCCTACGCTAGAATGCTTTTCCGTTTGGTTAGCTCTATGGGTGCAGGGCTCTTCCACTCACTTAAAATCTCTTTGCAGCTTTTCTCATATATGGCCTTTCAGCTATAGTGTAGGAGCCCAACTGTATTTCTAAAACTTCATAACTGAGACAAATATCTAAATGTGCAATAGATGCAAAGATGCACCTGGAGATTAATTTATCATTTTCATCACACAATGCATGCAATCGCATGTTCACTTTCTCATACCAGGAGTTCTTTTGATTTGCTAGAAATGCACATGGGTTCTAGAATAGGAGACTCCAAATCAGAAAACTGGCCTAGTATTTTTATTATGCTCACATGCAATTTGAAGGTTCAAACAACAAGGCTTTAGTTGCTGTTACAAAATTATATGTAACTGGATATAATAAATTTAATATACAAACTACTGCGTAAGAGTACTATACAATAATATAGTACTGTACATAGGATTTACCAACTGGTATTTTAAAAGACCCAATTAATATACACCTAGGAGCAAAAACAGTGAGCAAGAGATAAACATACAAAAGTGTAGATTTCCAAAAATGTCCAATTCCGCCCCCTCCACGCCCACCTCTCCAGCTGACGGGCACATGCCCCTAACTTGAATGTAACAGAACAAATTGCAGCTGCTTCATATCAGGCACCACCTAAAGCTGACCTCCACTCAGATCAAGCTGAAGCAGCAAACACCAAGACCTGTAGTTTCTGCAGTCAAAAGAAAGGTGCCCATTATCCTATAGAACATCTTCAACTGCATTTACCAGACTCAGATTCACCATGGTCCTTAAGCAACTACCTAATACTAATAATGTGAGTAGCCTCACTGACTTCAGTAGGACTATTCACATGCCTAAATAAAAGCTAAATATATATAGTTTTTCATCCATAGACCTCGTAGCACTTCACAATTGTTCACCTATTTATCCCCACAATACCCCTTGAGTAGGAAAGCATCATTAACCTAATTTTTAAAGATGGAGAATGAGGCACCTTCAGGCAGAGCAACTTGCACAAAATTCATGATACTGAGCACGGGTCTTCCAAATCCCAGGCTAGCGCACTATCCGTGTGCTTGAGTACACAGCTCAAACAGGGCCTTTAAAAAGTATCTAATCCACTCAGTTGTTGCCACATACTTTTCTACAAAATCAGTGATGAACTGAGCTTTGAAATATGTTGAAAATTTGGATACAGTGCTGAACCCAAGTGTATCAGCACGGGAACAGTCTATCGATATGGAATGTGTGTAAGCATTTCACTGCATTGCTGCGGCTCACGCAGTAATGTAATTAGGGAACAGTGCAACACCAGCAGAGAGGCTTGAAGATAATTTCCCCCATTTGAATGTTATCCTTATTAGGAAACCATTATTATGTTTATCATTCTAGTGCTTTGAATGGTACAGAAATGCATATAGTATACTCTTGAGTCATTCAGAATCTGGACTGGCCCAGGGCACCTCATATTAATAAGGCTGCACAGAGGGAGGATGTGGCACCCAAGATACCTACATCTTTTATTCTGCTGCCAGGGTTGCAGCTATCCACTGGAATTCTATAGGAATAGGCTTGGCATTCTATAAAAATAGGCTTGGCATCTGCGTAGGAGGGTGATGAGACCAAGGCAGCTGAGGAACAGGCTGCTATGGACCATTCCCTAGGAACACGGGTCTCGTGGAATTCTATCCTCAACCCAAGCATACAGCTTCTTATCCTAGCAGAATCCCCCTAGCACTGCCATTCAGTGGTGGGCAATCTGTAGATCTATCAGGGTAATCTGACTGAGGGTCGTAAGACATTTTGCTGACATTGACTGTCTGCAGGCTTCGCCTCCCACAACTCACAGTGGCCATGGTGAGTTAATTCCCACCTCCCATTGAACTTCCGTGACCGTTCAGCAACTAACTCCTTTCAGCTTCTTTGAAAAGCCAATTCTTAAATTGCACAGTGGGCAGCACTTACAAAAAACCTGAGCATTGTGTGAACCATGTTCTACTTTATTCTGACACTTCCACACAGCACCAGATGAAGTATCTGCTAAAATTAATCAAAAAAACAAAAAACTCTTCATCCAAATGATACAAATCAAATTCAAAGAGGGAAAAACACTTCTAACCTGCTTCTTCTTATAAATAAAAGTCTGCTTGCTAGCTGCAGTGTAAAAGCCAAAAAGGTTTTTTCAAATCAATACATTTGTTCTCCTTTACCTACTGTTTATCTGGTTTTTAACCCTAGCACACATTATTCCTACTGCACATTTATAACCAAGCTGCTTCAGAAATAGGAATAGTAAAGGTATTCTGAAACTGAAAAAGCCAAATTCCCAGATGTCAGCCAATATGGATGCAAACATTTACTTTTCCCCCAAAGAAAATAAAACAAGTACAGTATCCTCATTGGATCACACATGCACAAAATCAGGAGAATGTATATTTGAACGAACAAAACCACAAACATAATGAAAAAGCACAAATGAAATACATGATGGAGTGGGATAACATGAAGTTTTCAGTCATGGTAACTATATTGGGATAACTACACTATCAACAAGTCACTGACCTCTCTGCCTCTGGTGAATAGTGCCGTTCCCTCAAAATAGAGAAGGGACGCTTGTCTCATATAATTTGTGCCATGCTGTTTATTCACTGTACACAGACATATACTGTGTGTTTTTCAAAATGATATGTTGGTTGGACTTGAAGGGGTTGAAAGCATAAGTAAATGTATGTTCTGTTTCTCTGTGCACTGTCTTTATCTAATGGCACTAAGGTACTTTTTGTATTATTAGCACACAGACTCAAGAAATAAGCGTGGGAATAATTATGACAAACACAAAACAAGATATTCATCAGGTAATCAACCAAAAAGTTTGCATATTTCACTCAGCAGAATATATAATCTTCAGCAAAATATAGGATTCCATCCTGCAAGATTTATTCATCTTTAGTTACATGAGCAGGGCCACTGATTTAAGTAAGAGAACAAAATGATATAGCATTATTCTTGCTTGATCCTGAAGTTCTTATTCAGGCAAAATACTATTGGACATCACAACACAGTGTTTCTCCAAGTGGTCTGCAGACCCACTCCGAGAAAGCTGCTACTGAGTCACTCCACTTGTTTGCTTACCGGCTCTCTAGCCACAGGGTCTCATGGTTCCCATTGGCTGCAGTTCACCGTTTTCAGGAAAGGGGAGCCGCAGAAAGCTGCGTGACCTGGGCTACTGCTTCCCGCAGCTCCCCTTGGCTGCAAATGGGAGCCGCCAGGCTCCCGTGGCTGCGGAGCTAGTAAGCAAACAAACTGGAGCTGCCTGGTAGAAGCTCTCTGAGTGGATCTGCAGGCCACTTTGAGAAACACTGTCAATATCAGAATATGTAGATTTCTTAATTTTTAGAAAGAGAAGGACTGCCCAGATTGTGTGTCTCAGGAATTTTCATATCCATATTCAGGACATTTCTTATCTTAGTAAGGTCTGGGTTTTGTTTTTTTTTAAATGAAGTTACACGTGGGAGGTATGATCATAATATATATGGCAGCTAGCCTGGTCTTCTAGCATTCTCCGGGGCTGGGGAGGGGAGTCATCACTGATTCATCCTGCAAGAAGCATTATTACTACTTTCATATGATTTATGGCTGAACGTACAAGAGATGGTGCAAAGATCCTGTGCCAAATTCCCAGATGGCATATAACATGAGCCACACTTTGAAAACCTTCTAAGTATGGACAAAGGGGGGGGGGGGGAGGAGAGTAAAGGGTTCCAAAGACTGGGCAGGAAACCAGCCAGATAATTGTTTTACAATTATGTAATTCTGAGGCAGCAGACATGGGTGCAGCTTTGCCACTCAAAATGTAACATAGGATTAAAAGTAATGGCAAGCATTACAGAAATTAGGACAGGCAGGTTTCAGTAGAACATCCCTTTGTGTGTACATTCTCAGGGTAGTGTTTCTTATGACGTGTCAATAATATATTATTTAACACTACCAAGTGCAAAAAAATATATTGTTTGAAAGTACCTCCTCATAATTACAGTGATTAGGAATGACTGCATTATTGCTCATTTTGTTCAAATATCTTTTTTTTTTTTTTTTTTAATAAAAACTGAAAACCTTTTAGATCAGATAAAAAACTTTACTTGATAACATATAAAAACAAACCAGAAAAATAAAAATAGGGATTTACTCAGTGTGTTTAGCAAAATAATCATTTTTGTGTGTGTTTGTATTTTACTGGAATTCATTTATTATCTTGAGATCTTGGTTATAACAAAGAACACTAGAAAATACATTTTTTTCAATACTTTAATCATGTTTATAAGCATGCCAGAGCTTAATGATCAACCATTTAAAAGAAAAATAGCTGCATATCTGAGGCTGGCAGACCTGTAAACAACAACAGCAGAGTGCTTTACCTTCTTGTGATTCTTGTAAACATTTCTGTGGGCAAATCCCTTTCCACAAAGCTTGCATTTATAAGGTTTATCTTCACTGTGTATTATTTTGTGTGCAGTCACTTGATCAAGTCGTTTGAAGGACTTATTGCAAACCTCGCAGGTGTAGGGGCGTTTTTCTGCAGAAAATGAGTGGGGGACATTTAATCTCCTGTTTATACAGGGGGAGAAGATGAAAGGCAGAGACAGTCATCTCCTCAGAGAGATTTTTGCAATTAAGTCAACCCAATTAAGATTAAACCAATTAGAAAGACATCTAATGCCCTTTATGTTAGACAGTTAAGTCACTTCATAAAAGATGAGCTATGGTGTATCTCAAGAAATTGGCACATTCTTTGCAATAGTCATTGCTAACACTAAATTCTGATTAATTAGCTTAAATCAAAAGAGAATGACTTCAAAGAGGAAAAGCCTGTTTCCAGATTACAAATGTGAAAGAGGGCATGACAGTTTAAATGTTTTAAAAGTTAATTAACTATATCTCATATATTAGTTTCCAAAACCAAAAGTTGCTATGCAAAAAGCCTTTATGCCTGAACTGGTGACTCGAACCCAAACCCTGTAGTCTCATCCAAACATGTCAAAAGTAAGCTGAAAGCCTCGAGGATAAAGCTTATTTTAAAATTACATGTGACTGCAGTAAGTTGAAACCAAGAAAGCAGATATATTAAAAAGCTCTGCTGTTAAAAATCCTGTATTTTCCTACTTTAATGTATTTGACAGAACCAAGTTCATACTTCCATTGTGTTGGCTGATGTTTCTAATTACTGGGTGAATGAGCTAGAAGTGCCAGAATCTAAATGCTGGCAGTGTAATTCATATAATATTGCCAGACTGCAGGCACAGGATGCTGCCAGTCACTGACTTGCTCCAAAAGAGGCTAAGAAGGCTGATAAATTACTGTGTGATAAATTATGGTGTGGTATTAACTGCTTTATTCTGACTGGCAGCATTGCACTCCCAATGCAAGACCATTTGAGAAGCTGAACATCTCTCTCTCTCTCAGCCCGGCCTGAGGCATATCCAAGTTCCACACCCCTTCCATTCAACCACTAGGCACCTAAACCCCTACACAAACCAAGCAGCAACACTATTTCTTTCCCAGTCCCCATAGCACTCCACTCTTCCTTCCCAGCTAGTCTGAAGGAGAAGCCTGAAGAAGCTGCCATGAAACAAAGGTTGCACCACTTAAATTTTGACCTTTCAGTGGTGTGAAAAGTATTAGTTGGCACCAGATTTACTTGCACCAGCCCCTAAACACTTCAGAATCCATCAAAACAGATATAAAATAAAGTAAAAAGCAATAAACCTTAGGGGCCAATTCTGGTATACACGGAAAAAAACCCACAGTTTTGTTTTTGTTTTTTTACCTGAGTGAGTTATCATATGGCGTTTTAGCTGGTTAGCTGAAATAAATTTCTTGTCACATTCCTGACACTCAAAGATTTCATGAACCTGCAAAATGAGTGTTTAATGATAATTAAATATGTGTCTCAAACAAGATCACACATCTTAGATATACTGAACATCTAACAGACTGTAATTATTTCCTAGCTAGTAGCTATGTTCATACTCAGGGATATATTGTGATTTCTTCCTTAATTATCCCGTGCTGAACAACAGTGTGTCTCAAAAATCAAATGTTCATACTTCTGAACAAACACAGGCATGAAGATGATCTAAATATGCAATATCACATTCATTTTAAATCCAACCAATATGGTAATTGGATGCAAAAAATAAATAAATGTGGAATACCTTGCAAAAAGGGCTTATAAATAACAAATAGAGCTTGAAGGTCCGTTGCTCTCACCAACAGAAATTGGTCCAATGAGAAATATTCTCACCCACTTTATCTTTCCAACAACAAAATAACACATGTACAATAATTTTCAAAAAAGTGTAATAAACATGAAATACTGTTGGCTTCCACTGTAAATAAAACAATGTATTTCAACAGTATCAGTGTATCAGATTACTAACATTGCCATTGACTAATAAAATGAAAAAAACTGGGTAAGGATAAGATTAGTGCTTTATTTGCAGATGAACTAGTCTCATATAGCCTTTATCAACATGATCATAACATCCAGATATAAAACACTTCTTTTCCCTGAACTACATTAATAAATGCATTGTACATGATGCACATGGCCCCAGTGGCCATACTTTCTAGAGCATTCTAGCAAAGATACCAAGTTTGCATGTGCAGCCAAAAGGATGGATCTGTCCAAGTATCAACCTAGGGCCTGGACCAGATGCTGCACTAATGACCGGGTTTTGAAGCCAAGTATACATTTTCTTTCTATATATACACACATTAAAAAAAAAACCACACTTTTCGTGAGGGATGACAGAGTGATGTCAACATGTCACTCTGTGTCCTACCATCCCTTCTCAGCCACCTGGCTTCCTCCAACCTTCCCTCCGTCCCCGGTGCTGTGGGGAGGGAGGCAGCAGCCACGTGGCTTTTCTAGTACTCGGGAGGGAGAGGCGGGACGGGAGCCACATGGCTTCCCTGGTCTCTCTTGGGGGGCAGGGTGGGAGCCACATGGCCTCCCCAGTGCTGGGAAGAGGGACAGAGCCCTGTGGCCTCCTCTCTCCCTGGGGGAGGGGTGGGAGCAGCATGGCCTCCCCACAGTCCAGTGCTCCGGGGGAGGGGGAGTGTTAGCCAGAGCCATGCAGCCTCCCTGCTCTTCAGTGCTGTGGGGGAGGTTAGGAGCCCCGCAGTCTCTGCCTTCCCCAGTGCTCCGGGAGGGGACCCCATGGCCTCCTCCCTTCCTGGTGCTCTGAGGAGGCGGGAGGGGGGTTGGCAAGTGTAGCAAACAGGGGACACAGCCCCTAGTAATTATCTAAAGGCCAGTTATAATATTCCATAAGGCTTCCATGGCCTTCTGTTTACATACTACAGGTTGAACCTCTCTAGACCCGCACTCTCTGGTCAAGCAACATCCATGGTCCGGCACAAGTTTAGTTAGTCGGATGGATTCCCACTTATAGTGTGGTCACATTTCCTGCGGTCCCATAAAGTTTGTTTATAGCCACCAGACCTGGCTCTCAGCATTCTGTGCTGTTATTTAGCTCTAATTTACCCCTAAATGCCTTCTAAAATCCCAGCAAACAATGGAAGCTGCTAGACAATGTTGACCTCCCATGGTCTGGCAAATTCTCTGGCTCACCACCAGTCAGATCCCAAGGGTACCAGGCAAGAGAGTGTTCAAGCTGTATTCCGTGTGAACCTGGCGAGTCTTAGTGAAAAAAATCCTTATGCAAAATTAGGTCATGCCCTTGGTAGACATAACTTGCACTGAAAAATATCCTGTTTATCCAAATTCCATATTCCCTATTGATACATGTGGTTTTACTGTACTCTCTCTCAGCTTCATTGGCTTTTCTTCTTCTGGCATTGAAGTTCAGATCTGTATAAACTCCACTGACCTGCCATGTAACAATAAAATAATTCCTCCCGAAATATTTAAGACAACTTATTTTAGGAATTAAGTATTAGTTTTTCTTGAGAATAGACTACAGGCTGAACCTCTAAATTCTAGGATTCTTTGCGGTCAGAAGACAGTCTTGGGACCGCGTTCCATCTTGTAGCTCCTATTACCCTACTGTGATTTTCTATGTGTGACAAGCACGATGGTGGAGATAGTGGTGAACAGGCATTCAATCAATCTGCCATTAGTGTCACCAGCAAAGCTTGTCAAATGGTTCTTTGGTAAGGATCTTTAGGGATTTATAGCAACTGGGACAAAGCAAAGATCTTATTTATAAGCCTAACAATGACATGCCTATAAAAGTGGGACATTATTGGTTTGCAGGGTCCCACAGCCCCCTTCATGAGCAAGTATTTGTGGGTACTAAAACAAAACAGGATGCACTGTGATTAGGTTTGAGAAGATATGGCAGAATTTGTAAGTTTTTTCAAGAAAAGGTACAGAAGAAAAACAACATGAACAAGGAAATAGCAATTCACAAACAGCTAGTACAAGGGATTATAACTGTCTTTGCAACATCCTATTTTAATTGATACTATGTACATCCTCACTGGATTTAGGTTTTAAGTAGGACGTTATTAAAGACTTACAGATAATCTGAAAAACATTACAATATAGATGCTGATAAAAACAGCATCTCTAAGGTTTTGATGATTTAGTAAATTAATCTTACTGGGTCTCCTTTTGGGTATAATGAAGTCAGAAACTTGTATGTATAACCCTGTATTTCTATTCGAACGCCATTATTTTTAGGATATTAATTCTTTCTTTACAGATTCTTAAATATTACAAAAAAAATTGTGCATAAACTAAAATTGTGTAAGTGGCACTTCTTATATCAACCAAATAACTCAAAAGATCATCTATAACACCCTTTGGATTGTGATTTTTGTTTCCACACAGGGTGGTAAGAAAGCTTGTTTGCATTTTGTGCATAGTAACAGAGATTCACAGATTTACTTTAATGGCTAAAATACATTTCTCTCCTTGTGAACTACAGTCAAAAAAAGAAGAGCAGGTAATTGTGATTTAGCTTGGTAATATAAAAGTGACACACACATGAAATTATATTTGGTAAAAGATGCATTAGAATGAAACCAGGATTTTTGGTTTGATCAACTGTGGTTACAAAAATAAATACTCTTAATCAAAGAAGAAGCACTGCTTTTGTAACCAGGAAAAAGACTACCCAATAGTTTGTATTACAGCAGCTCTCAAGTGACTCATGCTCCCTGGCCTTACATCTTGGTGAAGTCAAAGCCTGCTGTGGGTCAACTTTCATGTTACTGACCTTTCGATGCTCTTGAAGATTTGTAGCTGAAGAACACTTCTTACTGCACACAGAGCACATCAACTTCTTCCTAGAATTTCCTAGAACAGAAACAAAATACATCTTAACAAGAAACATCTTAAAAAGGAAAGGCAAAGAAAGGAACCAAATGTTTCTACTGAGTGCGTGATTTTTTTTCCCCACAGGTCATTTGACTGACAGAAAATGTTATATTTGTAACCCATCTTCATGATATCAGGTTACAGGAGTTCTCTACAGGCATCCTACAAGCTAATTTTTCAATGGAATGCAAATCTAGAAAATTCACTTTTTAAAATATATATATAATAAAATTCAAGTATCACTTTATATCAATCTGCTTGTCACAAACTAAAAAAAACCACTTTAGTATTCAGAAGTGAAAACAATTATCATCGACAAAAACTTTATGTTACAGGTCAAGCAGCCCATACATTTGGAACATTTGGAATGAGTGAAACAACATGAAATAAGATCCATAATGAAGTCAACACCAAAAGTTCCATTTTCTATCATGACAACAGGGCCTAAAAGCTCCAAGTATCCTTCCTTCTAAGGTGTGCAGTAGGAAACAATCAATCCCACTAACATTTTCTTAACAGTGTATTTGGTAATAGAACCGCATCATGAATAAAAATCTAATCTAATCATGTAAAATTATAAACCCACAGTTCAGCTACAAGATGTATTGCCCTTCCCTTTTCACAGCTTGTTTAAAAAGTGACTGAGCATTTAATTAGGTTTGTCTATTAATTACCATGCTTTCAAATTCATATTAGTACTTCACATCTTTAGTTACTACAAACTTAGTTCTTCGTTTACAACCGAAAGCCCATGTGACATCCCCTGACTTCTCCACCAGAACTGCACTACACTTCACTAAAGATAAGGGCACAAAGGTAAACAGGAGGCCAGACAGTGTTTCTTGGAAGAATACTGAAGCATAAATCAGAAATTAACAAGTCAGATGGTTTCCAGTTCCACACGAGATTCTTCCAGACTTCAAAGTGTCTGATCTTTGCTGTTGTCCCCCTGAAGAATGTATATTTCTTTTGATTATTTGTTTTCCCAATTTCTTCCTTTAGAATATTTTATAAATAATTAAATTGGCATTTGCATTGGCTTTGTCCTCTCTGAAAACTGTTAAATAAACCAGTTTAATGAGAATAAAGATACTCCCCAACCAGGTATTAATTCAAATATTTAAAATACATGAGTGGTTTCAGCATATATCCCATACATTTAAAAATTATAATATATATACACACTACCTCAAGTCACAGTATCCTCAACAGCCTTAACAATGAGGGAATAAAGACTGGCTTTACAGTGTGCTCAGAAGGTAACAAACCTGGATTAACACCCCCAAAATACCAAACACCAGAAAATGCCCTGCCTGCAGCACCCTCTTACTTATTTTGAACAGCCTCCAGTTTTAGTGCCACTGTTGCCCTCCATAGTGGCAAAATATCACAGGGAGGCCCAATCCCTTAGGAAACCGGGTCTCAGACCATTTAGGGCTTTGGATCACAGCCAAGTACGATCAAATTCCTTGAATCTAAATACTGTACTTATGAAGGCCACCAAGCTGTTGAAGAGAACAAGGGTACGTCTACACTACAGCGTTATTTCGAAATATCTTATTTTGAAATAGTTAATTCAACATAAGTTATTTCAAAACAACGTGTCTACACACAAAATGCATTTCAAAATAGCATTTTGCTATTTCGGAATAGCGCATCCACACTGAGTGGACGCTGAATCTCATTTAAGGCCGGCCAGAACCAGGTCTTGCCAGACCAATTTGATTGTCATGCAAACCTGCTTCTGGGTTCGCATGCAGCCTTTGGTGGCCAGGCTGGCAGCTATCCTGCCATAGACGGGCACGTTCCTCTGTCTAGGGCAGAGATCATGGGATCCCAAACCTGAGTAAGGTCCATGATC